AATGAGCTCCTCATTTTCCTCTTTCTCCTGTAAAAATTTCAAAATTTTCCCGTTGCCAGTTTTGCAAAAAAAAATTAAAATGTAAGAGGGTGAATTTTCCTTAATTTTGCCTAAATAAGTCAATTTTCTTTGAATTTTTCCTGGAGTTATTTTTTACTGGAAAATTTTGAAGTTTTCGTAAAATGAGCTCCTCATTTTCCTCTTATTACTGAAAAATTTTCAAAATTTTCCCTTTGCCAGTTTTGCAAAAAAAAATTAAAATGTAAGAGGGTGAATTTTCATTAATTTTACTTGAAAAAGTCAATTTTTCAGAATTTTTCATGGAGTGATTTTTCACTGGAAAATTTATAATTTTCGACAAATTTGCACTCATGCGTTTTTAACTGAAAATGCATTCGGGCAAATTTCCCAAAAATTATCAATAATTTCCATTGCACTAGTTATATTACTATTGATAATTTCACGTTGCCTAGACAACGTTGAATTTTCGAATGTAATACCACAAGAGGTTTCAGGATTACCGGATAATACTTTTACCTATCACGAAACGCGTCACGCAGCAACACCACGGCTCCGAAGGAGGAGTGGTGTTGCTGGTAACGCGTTGTGTATCAGCTAAAAGTATTAGATAATTCTGAAACATCGAGTGGTATTCAAACGGTTATACAACGAACTAAACTTTAATACTTTAAAATTTGAAATTTTTTCTCTAATAGAATTTGCTATAAATGTCACCAAGCGCGATAATCCCAAAAGGCTTATCACTTATTAAGCCTCTCGTGTCATATGGGAATATTGTAAAGTGAGTTGTATAACCGCTGTAATTTTTCGATTTGTCACGTCTCTTATGGGAAAATTTATACATAAGTGAAATATTCTGGCAAATCCAGAGACAATAATATTCAATATTGAGACTATTATCGGCACTTCAGAAAAGTTATCCAACGAATCAAGAGCCGATAATAATGAAAATTTGGATTTCTATCGGCACTTGATTCGGTAAGATACTTGAGTACAACAATGAGTATATTTAATTTCCAAATTCTTCAGAACAACAAATTATTTGGGATAAATATCAACACTTTTGTGACACTTTGCATTATTACTAATATTTACTCCTGAAGCTGAAGCAACTAATAATCCAGTGTTTTTGAATTGAACTATCAAAACTTTCTACTTCTGCATTAAATTAGCAAATATGTTTTCAGACATCATTTCGACATTTTGTTTGTCACACCAATTTTTGAACTCGCAGTAATAATTTTCACATTTGCCGCTTAGTTTTTCAGGTATTAACTCAGAAATAGCTGATTTTAGCTCTGGAGGAGTGCAAGAAAGTAAAATATCTGTATCGCTTTCGGACATCTTCACGATTTTTTGAGAACCGTCAAAATTCTTTGTGTATTTGTTTACTTGCAAAATATGTCATCCATGATATCCATAGAAACGCTGTGCCACCATAGCCACCAGGTTATACATCTCAAACTGGTAGTTAGTTCCACATTTTTGTTGAAAGGAGTACAGTTTTTCTGTAATTTCACATAATTTTCATGGTTGCACAAAAAATAGTGTGTATACCATGACCACGAAACTTTTTAGCGTCCTCGAGATTATCTTGCCTCGGCCGCAAGCGGCCTCGGCGATAACTTTTCTCTACGTACGCTAAAAGGCACTTCGCGACCTTGGTATACAAATAACTATTAAACTTGTTTATAGCCGGCCAAAATCAAATTGGCACCTATGAACAGCAACAGAGAAGCCGGTTAAAATACATAGCGAAGGTTCAAGTGAAGCTGGGAAGTACCAGCTTCCAACAACAGATTTTGGTTGCAGATATTGAGAAGGAAATAATCATTGGGATGGACATCATGAATTATAGAGGATTTCAACTGGATTTTAAAAATGGTAGGTACTTTGATGGTAAATAATGAAGAAATGATACTGCATGGGAAAAACGAGGAAATGGTCTGTGTACTACTGTCAGAAGATTCTTCAATACCAGATAGGAGCGAGACGGGAGACACAATGATGTTTAAGCCCAGAATACATGACGCCGATATAGGACGAAAAATTGCATTTGGTAAGACTCTCTTGCATGTCAAAAAAATTGTGTCCGTCAGAGTCATGAACGTGAATCAATACTCTGTAACCTTGAAGAAAGGAATGGTTATAAGGCCCTGTTCGTCAGTTTCCTCTGTAGTTCGGCGTGTTCAGGAGACAGAGTTATCCAGATGAGATGAATAAGTTGATTTCTACGTTCTCAAAGCATTAAAACAAGAAGCAAAGGGACCTATTACGACAGTTCAGCAACGTTTTCGATAGGTACTGGACAAGGAGGAAAGGGAAGAACAAAAGTAGTACAACATGAAATCAATACTGGGGATGCACAGTCAATTCAGCAATCGGCAGGAAGACTATCCTTGGCTTAAAGAGAAAAACTGAAAGGATAATCATCCAGGATATGGAGAAAAAAGAAGTTATCGAACCCTCTACCAGTCCTTGGTCGTCGCCGGTGGTGCTAGTTAAGAAGAACGATGGTTCAACCCGATTTTGTATGGATTATCGTCAACTGAACAACGTAACAAAGAAAGCTAGTATTGATGACATGCTTGACACTTTGGCTGGATCAAAGATTTTCTCGACTTTAGACTTGAAAAGCGGCTATTGGCAGGTAGACATGGCTTCAGAGGATAATGAAAATACTGCATTCACTGTTGGAACTGGATTATGGCAGTTCACCGTCATGCCATTTGGAATGTGTAATGCTCCCGCTACCTTTCAAAGGCTCATGAAAATTGTTTTAAAGGGCTTATTCTGGTCAGCTTGCTTAGACGACATCATTGTGGTCGGAAGATCGTTTGAAGACCACACGATGGTGCTCCAGAGACTAGGGAATTCCGGTTTGAAACTCAGTCCAAAGAAATGTCACCTTTTTGAAGAGGAAGTTCAGTACCTAGGTCATATAGTTTCTGGTCAAGGAGTAGCCGTGGATAATCAGAAAAGTCAAGAGTGGCCGATACCTAAAAACCTGCATCAACTTCGAAGTTTCCTTGGACTATGTACCAATACTACCGGCGTTACATACAAGGATTTGCTAATGTTGCCAAGCCATTTACCAATCTCACGGAAGAACAAAGACGTTTTCAATGAGACCAAAAGTGCCAGGAATTTTTTCAGAAGTTAAAATAGGCGGTAACCAGAGCATCAATTCTCAGATATCCACTTCCAGAGGAAAAATTCATTTTAAATACTGACGCTAGGAATGTGAAACTAGGCGCTGTTCTGTCTCAGATCCAACAAGGAGAGAAGAAGGTTATAGGTTACTTCAGTAAGACTTTATCAAAATCAGAACGTAACTACTGTGTTACAAGAAGAGAACTTCTGGCATTAATTGAAAGAGTAGAACCACTTACCCTGAAGGACAGGTAGCCCGATAGATTGAAAGTCTGCAACAGTTTGATTATGATACAGAACATCGTGCTGGCAAAATTCGCTGTAGGATGCATTCCGAATTTATCAAATCTACAACCCAAATATTCAATTTCTGTTTATAAAAACTTACATTTTTCTTTGTTCAGAGTAAGTCCTAATTCATTTATGCGGAACAAAACTTTTTCGAGTCATTCATTATGTTCAGGAATGGTTTTTCCAACTATGATTATGTTATGGAGATATGCTTGACATTTTTCCATATTTTGTAGTAAGACGTCCATAATTCTTTGAAATATGGCAGGAGCTGCAGCAATACCAAATGGTAATCTGTTAACCTTGAATAAACCTTTTAGAGTGTTAAGTATCATAATCATAGCAGTATCTTCATCAACTGTCAATTTTTGATAGGCTTGTTGTGAATCTAGTTTTGTAAAATAAACTCCTCCAGATAATATAGTACGCATTTCTTTAATCGTTGGCAGAGGGTAGACATTATTTTTTGCATTTTCATTTACAGTACTGCGATAATCCCCACAAATTCGAGGTTTGTTATCCGGTTTTGGGACAACCACCAATAGTGTCGCTCATTCAGAATACTGTATTAGCGACAAAATGCCTCGTTGTTCTAATTTGTCTAATTCTTCTCCAACTCTTATCTCGAAGCATATATCTAAAGGAATCTGATTCTTCATAAAGCTACAGGAATTAGCCAAATCTTTTAATTCTTTAGTGTACTCCAGCTATTGATTCATTCTGATACTGGTTTCTAGAGTAGAATAATTGCCGGGCACATAGTTTATTTCTTTTTGGTTCAAAGTAAAGATCAAGTGAATCAAAAATTTCTTCTAATGATTTTCCTATTACATTAGAAGGAAATATCAATATAATATATAACACACGCCATTGCAGAATAATTCAATACGAAAAACGTTAAAATATTTTCAACTATAGGGGCCTAACACGTCCTTTTTTCATAGATCTCGGGTGTAATTTTTTAGACTGTGACAATTCTGAAAAACACACCTTTGAAGAATCCAAAAAGACATAAACTGTAAAACCACAGATTAAAATACAAATCGAAAATAATTATTAAACCACAAAGAAACTCGTTTTATTTTCTCCCAAAGAAAACGTAAATCCATACGAAACGTGGGCAGTAAATTACGGCTTTGACCACTGCACACACCTCAAGGCAAGAAGACGGGAAAAAAACGACCAAGACAAAGACAGAGAGAAGAGTTCGTTACAGCCAGCAGCATCCCAAAAAAAAAAACAGAGAAAAAAGACTCAAGGTACGCGCACAGGTAAACGCCGGTAGCCAATAAGAGCGAAAGAGAGAGGTTAAGGTAGCTCACGAGTCGGTCGCGTGTATAGCGCACGCTATTCAATTTCAATAACGTTGCCAAACTGTTTTACCTACTTCTACTCCCTCACTTAAATCATTGCAATATATTTCTTATAACCTCAACTAAAAACAACTCGTTTGGCAACGCCGCAACCAAAGCATGCGCCAAGCCGACAGGTAAAACCTCGGCTCTATAAAACCGGTACCGCGGCTCTGTTTCGTCACATTTACCGACTTGCTCTCGTGTGGAGCGAGTACTTTGCAGTACTTTTGTATAATCGATTTTTTTACGTCACAATCAGCTGACTGAACGTCATAATATCGGGCATGTGTCATAAAAAAACGATCATGTCCGATGCGACCAATAAGAAGTGTCCAAGGTCCCCTTTTCGTAGGCGTAATATTGGTGAGGTAAGAATCTTTTTTCTTTTGTTATTATTTATTTATTTATTTGCCCATTTAAAAAAAATATATATATTTAATTTTGTCTTTTTTTTTATAGCCACAAAGACCAAGACTCTCGAGACGAGTTATAGCAACTGCAAGAGTCAATCTCAACAGCTATTGGTCCAAATTTGAGGAGCTCTCAAAAGAAAACGTCCCATTGGCCACCCAGCAAATGCCTACTGCGTTCATGTTTTCCACTTATCATGATAACGCTATCAACGAAAATTTAATCAACGAGATCCTGGATCTATGCAAGAATTGATCATCATGTAGATATTTTTTTATTAATGGTATGTAATTTTGTACATTATTAGTTATTTTTTCTATTCTTTCACGATTTTGTTTGCTTAAGCTGAGCTTTAAAGTGCAATGCTATATAAATGTGCAATTTCAAATTTTTTTAATTTAGTTTTTTCCGTGCAATCATTTTTCGTGCAATTTGTTTACGTGCAATACAAAATAATAATAGAAATTTCTCAATTAACAATTTTTGGCTTTAAGTAATAACGTGCAATTTTAGCTTTAATTTTTGTGATATTATTTTTATTTCTGTGATACTTTTCTGTGTGATATTTTCATTTAGATTTAAAAACAAAATAATTATTTGGAAATTTCTGCTTTGACTGTGATTTAGTAGGTATGTTTCTGCAAAAATCACAAACCAGTCATTGGTTGAAAATAGTCAGAAAACTAGTTTCAACAACCAATGAAATTCATTCTGACTAGTTTGTGATTTCTCCAAAAACAGACCTAATATTATGTGATAATTTATTAGATTTTAGTTTCTGACATAAAGCTTTACATCTTTTGATAGCACTCAGAAATCATAAACCAGTCATTGACTGGTTTATGATTTCTGAGCATGTATATTTTTTGACACCTTCTTATTTGCTCAAGCTTTAATAATTATTTTATAACTAGTTTTTATTAAAATTTTATTTTAAAATTCTAATAAAAACTGGGTGATTTCTGACTCCGATAGGGCTTTAATTAGGTTTATTAAGCAATATTTTTTTGGCTTTAATTAATTAATTTAGTGATTTATAGCTTTAAATTGTATAAAAAACAAATTATAGGCCGAATATGTGTCAATCAAATTGTACATAAAGCATGCAAACTTAGCTTTAAGTTTATCACTTTATAGATTTTAAGTTAGCACTTTTTTGTAGCATCCTTGAATGTAGCTTCTAACGAACAAAGTGCTCATAAAGCTATGTGATTGGTTTAATTTAGATCTCTTTTTTGTATTGTGTAAAATATATTTGTTTTTCCTTCTGTGATATCAGCTTAACAAAATGATTTCGTTTTTATATTTTGTGTGTTTAATTTTTAAGTTTAGTTTTTAGTTTTGTATTTCTCACTCCGATGATCTTTCATTTTAGTTTTTAGTATTTTTTTTTTGTATTATTTGGTTTATTTTTTTGTAATAAATAAAGGTTTTTGAAATAATTTGCTTTCATAATTCACCTGTTGAATAAAAACCACCTTTCCCCTAAGTTATGAACCCCAATTTATTCACCCTCCAAAATACTAGTTGAAGGAACAAGTGCTTCAATTATTGTAGGTTTAACCCCGAGGGTTAACTTTTGGGGTGTATTGACGAGTGACGTAGGTCAAACAACCCCTATAGTGAATTTCTAGAATTAAATAGTTCGAAGAGAATAAAATAGATGGCATACAGGATGTGGAGGAGTAAAATTTGGGATTTTAATTGCACATGATTAATATGTGTTTTGAGTACAAGTTACCTACTTTATGAATTAAAATAGGATATTTTCATATAGGATATTTTCAAAATATAGATAAGCCTTGAATATTTCAGAGCTATCAAGTTTAATAATACACCAGTTTATAGAGAATTTAATGCACTTTCAAAAAACTCATAATACAAGTCATTTTAGTGCTAAGTTATCTAGCTACTTTATGATTTGTATTGTTCAAAATTTTGAAAAATCATAACTTTTTTCCTATTATAGATAAAAAGCTGAATTTTCAGCGATTCTTATTCCAATAGAGGACTACAATCCCTGAAACTTTCAAATCATTTGGACTTATAGTTTCAGAAATAAAATCCTGTTAAGCAATGTGGGGTGATTTATCAATTTTTTAATTTTTCTGAGTGCCTTTTTTCATGGATTTCGGCTTATGATTTAGATTTTTAAAAATATTAGAGATCCTACTAGAAGACTTCAATTCCTAACAATTTCAGTTCATTTGGACTTATACTTTCTGAAATAAAATTGTGTTAAGCAATTTGGGGTAAATTATCTATTTTTCAATTTTCTAAGTGTCTTTTTGTATATATTTCGGCTTCAAATCTCAGAATAATTTAGTGTATGGAGCTTGGGGGGTCCTCAATAATCAATAGACACAAAATTAAAAAAATTGAAACCTTATTATTTTAGTAAGTACTAAGGTAGATACCTTATGATCTGGATTATTGAAAACTTTGAAAATAGTTATTTATGCTAAAAGTGACATTTTATTTTGTAAAAAGGGAAGTTTGGGACACGACGCCATCCCTTTGAACAAAATAAAATCACTTTTAGCACGAATATCATACATTTTTTCTACAAATCCACTAAAAGTGATTGCTTTTAGCACTCAGTGCTAAAAATAATCACTTTTAACACCAGTGTCATAAAATGGCATTTTAGACACTGACAGCATCCGTTAAAAATGACACGTTTAGTGACGTTTGTAGAAAAATCGTATTTTTTTTCTATTATAGATAAAAAGCTAAAATTTTCAGCGATTCTTATTAAGTTATTACAGTAGAGGACTACAATCCCTGAAAATCACTCACTCAAGCGCCGAGAATAGTTATTTAAATTCATGTTACAAATTTGGATCCTATTGCCTTCTTTTTTCTACTTATTGAATTTCGCATATTTTTATTTCTCACTTTCACACTAGGTTTCTGCCTAGTAGAACAAATAACTAGACAAGGAGTTGTGTTAAATTGATATGGGTAATCGTTCAAGGCATAGACGACTTCAAAATAAATGTATAGCTACTTTCAAAATTAGTCAGTCGTTAACCCCCCTATTCCGTATTCAAGAAAACCTGTGGTCAGTCGATAGCCTTCCTGTTCTATATTCTCCGGACACCCAGTTAGGGTCCCAGTGCGACTGTAAGCGTCAGAAAAGGTCAAAAATCGTGTCATTCTAGTTTATCTTCATCTCTCTCTTACTCTTTAAATTTTCATATCGTTATCTCTGCTCTATCTTACTTTATTGTTCGCAGATTCTTATGGCCGTTTCTACCAACTATTTTAGGAAAGCCTTAACGATAAGTTTTCCCTAAACTGACATTTCTCCATGGAAAACTGTCAGTTTAGGGAATACTTAGCGTTAAGGCTTCCCTGAAATAGTTGGTGGAAATGGCCATTGATTGGTCAGACACCCAAAAACTACAGATCACTCAAGCGCCGGAAATAATTGTTTAAATTTATGTCACAAATTATTTAATTTATTCTACTTTATTACCTTCTTTTTTCTACATTATATCTTTGTCTCTTACTTTGTTAATCCAGGCTTTCGATTGGCCAGACCCAAAAATTAAAAGCACTCAAACGACGAGAATAAATAAAATATGTGTCAATGGATGTTCATTCTATTATGCCTTAATCTTCTTTTTTTCTCTTACATTATTACTCTCAAAATATGACATAGTAATGATTGCTTTGGAGACTGTATCAAATATTACATTGGATTTTGTGAAAGCTAGATTACTAGACGAAGAGTTAAAAATACAGTCAAAACAGAAATATAATCAAAGAGTGAAGCAAGCTTTAAAGCATCAGGCAGAGGATGTTCTAAATGTGGAAGTTTGGATCATGTGCCATATAGGGGAAGGTCAAGTTATAGAGGCCGAGGATTCAGAAATATTCGAGGAAATACTAGTTTCAGTGATAGAAATAGTGAATTTATGAATAGAAATCAAAATCAAGATCATAGACATCAGGCAAATGATGCGAAAATGGAAATACAGCTGTACGCAGCAAAGGATCCCGCAATATTTAAATGGAAATTGGTTACCCGTGATATTTGGATGAAATTTAAATATGTTATTGGGGATGCCGTCAGCAACATTTTTTACCATGGGCACAACCCTGTATATATGACAGGTGAGGCGTGGTTAGCTGTCAAATATTGGAATCTTATATCCAAAAGCAGAGTGACTATGGCAGATTTTGATGAACGAAGTTTCGATGTCTACTAAGTCGACTAAGTCAAGTCGAAAAATGTCCACCATTTTGACACCTGTCAAAACCCTGCCAAACGGCAGCACTCATCTTTTCCCGTTTTCAATATGTTATGATGTCATTTGACATTTTTAACTTGAATGTAAATTCTGAATTCAAAAATTGAAAAAACATTACAAAACTGTCAAAATCAATCAATCTGGTTCTTTTTTGTTTCAAGGTAGTTTATTGGTGATAAAACATTGGACAAAGTTCATGCATGCCACACTTTGACAACTGTCAGAATCTGTTAATAGCTTTTTGGTTTATGAGTTTGTTTGCTTAGTGAAGTTCTACAACGGGCATAAAATTGGTTTAGTTCTATTGTATTATCCTATCATTCTAGTTGTAGAAATTCACTAAGCAAACAAACTCAATATGAACCGAAAAGCTATTTAAAGATTCTGACAGCAGTCAAAATGTGACATGCATAAACTTTGTTTAATGTTTTATCACCAATAAACTAAGTACCTTGAAACCAAAAAAAAAACAGATTGGAGTATTTTTTCTACTAAAACAAATGACAGGTTTTGACAGTTCTGTCTTTTTTTTTGAAATTTTTGAATTCAGAATTTACATACAAGTTAAAAATGTCAAATGACATCATAAAATATTGAAAACGGGAAAAGATGAGTGCTGCCGTTTGGCAGGGTTTTGACAGGTGTCCTAATGGTTGACATTTTTCGACCTAACTTGGTCGACTTGATAGAAATAAGATTCCAATATTTGACAGCTAACCACGCCTCACCTGTCATATATACAGGGTTGTGCCCATGGTAAAAAATGTTGCTTACGGTATCCCCAATAACATATTTAAATTTCATCCAAAAATATCACGGGTAACCAATTTCCGTCTAAATATTGCGGGGTCCTTTATGTGCAGACATTGAAGGTAAAATCTCTTTTGTGATAGATTTTGAGGCAATTAATCATTTTTTCACTGATTCATTTTAAAAATACATGAATAATGTCCAAATTTTGAAAAATTCAGTGTCAATACCATAAGGTACTTATTACTGAAGTATATCGCGGGTTGTATTCATTTCAATTTAGCCAGTAAATCACACAAAACAAAACAATTTTACAAAATACAAACGCAGAAAAGAACAAACAGCGAAAAAAAAAGTCCGAAATATTTACTAAAAAATTAGGTTAAACAACAAGATCATAAAATAACCACAAATATCGTTATTCATAAATCAGGACATTTTTAGGAATGGGAAAAAATAAAATTGATCAAGGTTGAGGAAAACCACCTATTTAAAATATTATTTCTTTGAATCTTAACTTTTAAAAAAAAGTTTACTGAATAAAAGTAAATTTTGCAACCATGTAATGCGCTGTAAAGTTTATGGGAACGGGATGCGCCACAACGAAAAGCGTACCGAAAGGGTAGGTAGAACAGAATGGGAAACTAGATGACTAAACTAGAGAAGAAGCTGGGTTGGTCCTAGAAGACGCTTGTCTGCCATTGTTCATTATTCAATTTTTATTTTTATTTCGTATTAAACTGATTGTTCAATCCAATTTGTGATTAGTTTGTGTGTCAAAAAGAACATTCACAGGTCAGTTGAATAATTGTTATTTTGTTTTTGAGAGTTTAATTTATACAAGTATTATTTTTTCTTTTTTATGTATTTTTTGTTTGTTTATAACATTCTTTATAGCATGTGCATTGTTCATGTATTTAACAAAAAATCGTTTCATGCTGTAAACAACACAGATAAAGAGTGAATTAAAACCTAGAAAAATTATGTACTGTCTATTGTGCTGGGATTTTGATTTTTGGTATTTAGAGCGTACATTAGGTCCTTGTTGAATTTACTAACATTTTCCTACCCTGACGCGCGAATATCCTAGTAAACAAATTGAAAATCATCAATCTAGAGATATTGGTTCAATAAAAACTATAGCTGAGTAGCCTTCCGTATGGGACCTCAGTACCTGCTGGTGAAACTGGCAAACTAACCAAAAACTCTTCAGTATTCAATATAGGTAGTGTTGATTGAATGTAGCGTGTGGAATTAAAATTTTAGCACAAGGACAGAGACAGTATCTAATTTAAACTTTTATTGATTATTGACTCACAATTAATTATTAAAATGACACAGTATGTTTTGATTTTTGAGAAATGTTAGATCGAGGGTTTCCTCTGCCGTGCTCTTTCCCCTCGTTAGTTTCCGGTCGAGAACGGTACGATTTA